GGAATTAATGTCTGAATGGAACTACTGATCGCTTTTCTATGTTGCCTTTCTGTTAAGGAATTAGTCCCTGAATTCAGCAGCATATTCAGACTTCTCTATGAATACAACCTTGATGAGACATAGATGACTGAAGTGAGGGAACAGCTGCCTTTTTTCTAACAAAGGCCGCATCTCCTTGAAGTAACCTATTGAGAACTAAAGGTCTGATGCTAAGGACTGCACAAAATCAGCAGAAGTGGCATAGACCAAAGGGTTGCAGGTTGTCTATCCCAGCAGGAAATAAAAAGTCTTTAATGTTGTTTTGGATAGAGAAACCATTAACAAATGATTTTTCTCCTCAAAACAACATTAGGGAACTCTTTTTTTTCCTCTTAAACTCTTGAACTTGATATTGAACCAGGGTGTTTATAGGCCGATTCACAGCAACCATATTACCTGTTGACTCTGACACCATATTGGCTCTCATCTATAGCCATAGCTTTAGTCATCGCAACCACAGCACCCTGCAAATTGAAAGCATTGAAAAGTTATAAAGGCAATCAGCAACTTGACTAAGCTACAATTTCTCTCCTGCCTATCAGGCCAACTTTTCATGTCATTAGCTTCCATCTGCAGTACAACCTCCATCAAAGCAGGATTTGATAGAAAAGTTGATTCATTCTCACTCTGTCTCTTCCTCCCTCCCCCCCTTCCTTATTATTAATCATCAAATAGCCTTAGGAAGCCCTGATTCCAACACTCAGTTGCTGATAAGCTGAAAGTAAGAGTCCTTCAGTTAATTAAGTAGCTCTAGTCCTTAAAATGAATTTGTAGTGTTATTAAATTCTAAGGCAATTTAACTTTCCTGGAATTGGAAGCTTTATATCTTGCCATTAGGGCAAAAAAGCTCCACCATGCCACGGACATGGAAAGCTCTTCTGGCCATTTAAACAAAATTATCAAAATCGGAGAAATAAATCCAACTGGTGCCTACAACTCTCGAGAGCAGCTTGATACAGAGAAATGAGCAAAAATATTTTCATTGGGAAAGATTTTATGACTGGACAATTATAGAGGAGAAAATAGGCCTATATGACTGGAACATTTTGATTTGGATTACCTTGGTTGCCACATATGGTACAGCTAACTTTTGTCCAAAGTGACCAACGAGGCTCGCAATGTTAATGATGTTTCCACTGGTTTTCCGGAGGTAGGGCAGTGCAAACTGTTAACAGCCAAATGAAGAAAAATAAAGAATTACGATAAGAAAGTGTACCAGCTCTGGACATTTATTTAGTATTGATTCAACTGAAATCTTTTTTATTTTATTTTAGCCACAATAAAAGTAATTATGTTTAGCCATTCCTTAAGTAATCACAAAGGCTAGGATACACAAGGAAAGGGAATAGAGAGCAGGAAAGGAGCTGGATGGTGGTGGATGGTTCAGTGAACTAGATGTATAGAAAAAGTTCTTGCTTGAAGCTGAGTAGCAAATGCCATTTTTTCTCCCACCAACCTACCTCCAACCACCAAGTCAAGTATGACACCCTCATTCAAATCCTTTTGGCACCTAAGAAATCCATACCGCCCTTTACTCTGATAATGAAAGTGTGGTAACAACATCAGCAACTAACAATTTTCTACTCAATTATGATGCTCAAGATCATCTTCTCAAGGCAGTTCCTCCCTCTATCTTATGGTAGAGATGGCCCTCAGTGGAATTGTAAAAAATATTTTGTCCTAGTCATACTCTTTTCTTCCTTAATTGTACTATCTCCAAAACAGGCAAATAACATTGACCCCATCCGCTCCAGAAATTGTCATTACTGTATTTGCAAAAGTGGAGTTTAAGTTTAAGTTTATTTATAGGCCGCCCAATCCCGGAGAACTCTGGGCGGCTTACAGAGAGGGGAAAGAAAAAATAAAATAAAATAAAATAGACAAGTTAAAAACAACACAGGTACATTCATTTCAGTCGGGGCTGGACCTCAACGGTGAGGTCAACAGCCCCAGGCCTGCCGGAATAGCCAGGTCTTGACAGCTTTTCTGAAGGCCATGAGAGTGGGTGAAGTCCGGATTTCTGGGGGTAGTTTGTTCCAAAGGATCGGGGCAGCCACAGAGAAGGCTCTCCTCCGGGGAGCCGCCAGCCGACATTGTCTGGCTGANAAGCCACTCCCACAAAGCAGGCCACACCTACAGAAGAGGTTCTAAAAAAATTGAAACCCACCACTGGCAGGTATCCTTAATTTGCACTATGCAAGAATCTTGCTCTTCTGGCCGGAAGTGCTTTGCTTGTGTTTTCCCAATGTTTATATATGGACCTCTGAAATATTATCTAAATTGTCCAACCGCACATTCCCCATTTTCCCATCATGCACTTGCCTGAGCATCTTTGCCTTTCTTGATCAATGCCTCTGCACTGGTTGCCTGGCTTGCAAGCTTTTCCCATCCGGGAGTCCAAATATTGCTGGGTGAGATGCTGGAATTCCAATGGTTAGAGAGTGCTGATGAGAAAACATTGTGCAAGAGCAAACTGATCTACTTCTATGCAACTCCCCCCCCCCCCACAATTCCATAATTTTTATAAATGTAACCTCATTAAATTAAAATTGCCTTACTTATGCTGGTGCAGAGATTGGCAGCACAGCATTTCTGAATACCAGAGCATCTATCACCCCGAAAACAGCTACCCCATAAATTCTGAGCATAATTCAAAATAAACTCTCTTCCAAAAGTGAAAAATATTTAAGAATATCATGGGCCTATCAAATATCATGCAGTGATATTAATCCTATATTAAAATGATAAAATCTCATGAAACTTCTGTATTTAATTGGAAGCAAACTCTACTGATTTACTCTCAAGTAGCTTAACTGTGCCCTCAATAAAATGAAGCTTCTTGGCTGATGTTTTAAAAGCTAAATTATCAACCAGGAAATCCTTGTAAACTAGATTGGGTTAGTAAAAAGAATGCAGGTAGTCCTCCACTTACAACTACAATTGAGCCCAAAATTTCTTGTTGCTGAACAAGACAGTTGTTAAGTGAATTTTGCCCCATTTTACAATCTTTCTTGCCATAGTTATTAAGTGAATCACTGCAGTTATTAAGTTAGTATCACTGTTGTTAAATTAATCTGGCTTCTCCATTGACTTTGTTTGTCCGAAGGTCGTGAAAAGTGATCCCATGAACCTGGGATGCTGCAACTATCATAGTCAGTTGCCAAGCCTCCGAATTTTGCTCATGTGGCCATGGGGACGCTGCAATGGTCGTAGGTTTGAAAAATTGGCCATAAGTCACTTTTTTTTTAAAGATCACTAAACGAATTGTTGTAAGTCAAGGACTACTGGTATATTTTAGAAAAACAAACTAGCAAACCACACCTTTGTAGGGAAGGTTGTTGAGAAGGTGGTGGCGCTTCAACTACGACGGACCTTGAATGAAGCAGATTTTCTAGACTCCCTTCAGTCTCGCTTCAGACCTGGATACAGCACAGAAACCGCTTTGGTCACACTGATCGATGATCTCTGGTGGGCCAGGGATAGAGGACATTCCTCTATCCTGGTGCTTCTTGACCTCTCAGCGGCTTTCAATACCATCGACCATGGTATCCTTCTGCGACGGTTACGGGAGGTGGGAGTGGGAGGCACTGTTCTACTGTGGTTCTCCTCTTACCTCTCCGGTAGGTCACAGTCGGTGTTG